GTTTTTTTATAATGTGACATTTTCCTTGGTGAGATCCTTTTTGTGACTTATTTTCATGTATAACATGAATTTTTATACCATTTCTTGCTTAAATAAATAAATGATACAAAAAGAAAAATATTTTATTATTGTGGGCAAAACACCAAGGATTTTCAATTCTTTTTGGAGTCAGGAAAGATGTTATTAACCAGCATTAGCATTTTTTGCTGACAGGGCTAAGGCATAAGCTTTAGCTCTTATATCTCTAATACTAATCTTATCCTGTAAAAGTTGATGTGCCATCTCTCTGATTGTTTCTTCCTCCATTCCTTTCAAGGGTTGGTTGGCGATCGCAATATTTATGGTCTTACTTTCATTTTCCTGGATAGAGAATAATGCATTCACTTGATCCTCATTAAACCCATATCTATTTTGCAAGATTTATTTTGCTATTTCTCTGATAATCTCCTTTTCTAAATATTTGGAGACAAAGCTATTTCTATTCTGCAACTACCCTCGACAACATTTATAATCTTAGCTTTACCAGCTCTCTGATTAGGTATCAATACTTATCAATTCATTGCTAAATTTGAATCCTTTCCGAAGACGTCGCCGAGCTTGATTCTGCTTTCTATCATCTGTAAGGTTTTCAAGAAATTCTGAGGTACATTGACCGAGCTCAGATATACCCATCTTTGGAGTAAGTTTATATTTTTCAACAATTTTTGTTACAATAGCCGATATGATCTAATGTTATAATAGGTTGAGTAGGTTGTGAACAATTCTTTAGGTTATATACACTATTGAAAATAATAGATCGATTTATTTTTCCCATGTTTATTTCTCACGAATTGGAGGAATTAATAGTCCTTCTTCTTCCCAATGTACTGTATATATCCATCACGTATCAATCTATTATATGTCGACCAATCGATCGCAATCATACGATTAGTTTTAGGGTTATATATTTTTGGTTTCCTCGAACGCCTAGCTAGTTTGGATAATTCCTTAGCGGTAATCGTTTCTTTGTTATATTCTGACTCTTTGATATACATTTTGTACATTTTCTGTGATATATAGTGTCAATATATGTATAGTATCGCGTTGGTATTCTTTATTATATGTAATACATTTTCTCCATCAATGTTTAAATTGATTTTTATATAACATTTTCTTACAAATTTTGAATATTCTGTTAAACTTGTAATAAAGTGGAAAATTTGATATGAATCGCCATACTTGTACACATGTTAAAATGGATGGAAGCGTTTGTGGACGAGTCAGTACTCGTCTAACCGGGTGTGCTCTTCATTGAAAAACAGGTACTAATAAATAGTTAAAATTGCCTTGTAGTATATGCGATAAACCCACCTTATCTTATACGGGTTATTGCTCTAAACATGCTAATAAATTTTATCGTCAGGCCGAGAGGGAAAGACAGAAAAATGCTCTTATCGATTCAAATTCTTCAACCCCAAATATATAGATAATTTATTTGGCACTACATTCTTGAGTATCACAAAAACTATCAGAATTTGCGTAATATTTTTATCTGAAAATTTCATATTGACTAGTTTGTAGGAGCAAAAAATCCCCCTACCTGCGAAATTTACCTATTCATTCCTTCGCATATATAGTGATCTTACCATAACATACCATTTCCTGGAGTATGTTAACTGTTTTTCCAGTCCTCGTCGGTATCCAACTATGAGAGATTATTCGAGAGAACGGTAGATTATTTCTTCGCTTATTAATCTTTCTCGCACTGTCATGTCAATATATTCACTAGGATCTTCTTCAGCCTCCTTTACATAACAACACATTCACGCATCAGTCTGCATTCTATCACAGAATGCTATGAAATCGAGTTTATCTTTTTCAGTTATGGTAACGAATTTGTCAGGATCTTCACCAAGTTTGATAGCTTTTTCAAAGACGTACCTTTCTTTGCTCCCTAGTCAAATATCCGGGTGGGTATATTTTCGATTGGGTGATGGCTTCTTCGTTGTTGGAGTCTGGGTTATCGTTTACAAGCAGGATGGGAGAAATCTCGGGCTCATCATTCATCGATGAGGTATAGCCTCGAATCTCCAATTCCTCGATAATTTCTGGAGATTTAAATTTATCGTCTATGTTTCTACGTGTTCGATCTTTAGAGTCATGGATATATCAGTAGAATTAGATGACGAAGCAACAAAACTTTCATTTGTTACATAATCGAAGAGCTCCTGAGTCATGCTAGTGATTGGTGGGTTAAACTTATCTTTTTTGATGCGATTGGTGGTCAATGACTCAGGTATCGTTTTTTCTGGTTCAGGAGTTACGATTTTGGGTGCGTTAACTAAGAGGATATCTGTGGATGCGTTAATGGATGTCTCGGCTTAAGTGGATCTGAAAATTCCTCGATATCACATACCGATTCACGAAGCTTGGCTATAATATTTGGTCGATCGAGGATACTCTTTCTCCATTAATCCGCAATTGCTTTTTCTCGATTCCTATCGGTGGAAAAAAGCCTCCAATTTATTGTTACGAATTCGACCTTCACCATCAATCCCACACCAAGTAAGATAATCTTGATATAAATATCCAGAGATTGGTTTTTCGATTTGATTTTCAGACCATGAATTGATATGGTGTATTATAAAGCGTACAGGATTTCGGATGTTGTTCATTATTGTATCTGTTTTATTTTAGTGACAGGAAAATTTTGTGGACTCCACTTTGACAGATCACAACTAAGATATGACATGACTACTCCTGGCGCGTCAGGATGGTCTAAAATTTCTCCTAACCGGTTAAAATATTCTATATTACCTCTATAACGCGCGGATACGTCAAAACACACTATGCGTGCATCACCAGCTTCTATTTTGAGTGAGGCATCTTGATTACTTGTAACCATAAACACACTGAAATCATTTATCCTTAAAGTTTCAAGCCATTTACGCTCTATACTTACCTTTCCTTCCTTTATAAGGGATTTAAGATGCCCATTAAACCTACGCCATTCCCCACTAGACATACTGGTTTCATTCATAACTATAAGTTTTCTACCTTGGGTAACACTGTTAAATTTCCAAGAATTTTTCCTAGATTAGATGTCGCATAATGAAGATTCGACCCTAATACCTTATCGCCAATAAAATCGGTAATAATATTTTTTCCACATTGCTGTAAAGTGGATTTTAATACTAAAATTGATAGAGGTTTCTTATTTGGTTTTTGTACTAAAAATGCCCACCAGTTCCATATACTGTATATTTATTAAGCTCTTTATTTCTATCACAGATTACATTTTCCACGTGCCAGAGGATAGTATCCATAATTTTACATTAATCTCTTTTACTGGTTTAGCTAGAAATCCCAGGAAGAGATTGAAGAAACTCGTCTTTGGTGGGATTACATTTGGAGGGTATGGGAGAAATCGATTTCATCATAATGTATTGAATTTTCAACAACTTCTCGATTTATTGAGGAAATTAATTTTACTGCTTCTCCTCCATGCTCAATTATATTTATTGTATGCTTTGCAAGTTCCAGCTCACGACCCATATCAAAATAAAGACCGTCAGAATTTAACTATCCAGGTTAGTTTTCTTTGCTCGACACATGCTATCGTTGCTTGAATCGCACTATATACCTCATCACGTGTAAACTTTTTCTTAGACATACACATACGAAGTAAGTCGCCCCATATGAAATGATCATTTGGATCTGAAATTCTAGTTCGATCCAATTTCTCTGGGATTGGAAGGTTGTTTTCCCGATCCAAGATTGATTAATCAATGACGAGCTTTAACGAAGGCTTTTTTGCGCCAGGCTTCATATTTTGATTTGCGCAATGGCAATAGAAACCGTATGATTTTTTATTTCGGATAACATATGCATTTTCACTATCATGTGAATCTTTATTACCATATTCTCCCTCACATAATGGGCAATGTGATGAGGTTATGCGTTTGAGTGGGAATGTATCAGGAAATTTATCTGTCGGAGATAATAATTCATATCCCTCGATATTGGCATCTTTGAGTAATGATTGCAGTAATTCAAGTTCAACCTCGGTAATATCGGTGGCTTTATTGTGAGAGTTATATACGTATTCTGGTTGACACCAGCTCTGGGACAATCAACAGAGGACTATCTACAACTGGTGCCTCGTCATTAGGTGGGCGGAGCATAAAATCAAAGACAGAACTATCTTTTGGATAAAATGCTTTTTTACCCGTACATGTTCATTAGTCTCTTTAATAAATTTTGAGGTTCCGAGTATTTGCAAAGAGAATGAACATTTATTCGCAATTATCGACAATGTCTTTTTCTTGTAAATCTATTGGAAGTTTTTTGCGAACGAGCTCAGTAAATACTGCAACTTTAGCAATATTTTTGAGTCGGAGACCAAAAGTTGAGACATTTTTTTCTTGTCACTACTACTAGCAATTGTTAAAGTATTTGGCCTCCAATCTGGGTATATTTCTAGACACACTTCTTTAAAGGCACGACAAAGCAAATCCTGTATTTCTTTAGGTGTAAGCTTAGGTTCGATTTTATCAAATTTTTCTCTAGATAAATCAAAATACATAATACAATAAATTCATGTAATGAATGACCGTTACGTTCAGTGAGATATTTTCTATTCCATCTTCGGAATCCGTAACAAGAAATTGCCTCGGTCTTACACTATCATCTCGAATTTTATACCTGTATTCAGCCACTTTCTCGGCTTTGGCCCCCGGTCGTAGAAGGCCTCGTTTTCTCCTTCCTCTATCTCCGCCTCTGGCTCAAATTCGGAAGGTGGAATGAATTCAGAAGGCGAAACGAATTCAGAGGGAGAAATAAATACTATTGGTATGTTTTAGGCACTCATGGTAGCTGAGGATATTTTAAATTTTTAATATATTATCCTAAGAAAAAAGTTTAATTTGAAAATATCAATTAATTAGTTTTACCTAAGATAGTATTACTAACGAGTTTCAAAAAATAATAATTAGTAATGACGAGTATCAATATCTTTTCCAATGAAGGAAAAGTATGTGGATGGTCTTGCTATCGACAAGAAGGATGTGCTATTCACTTGGAAAAGGCGTCAACGCGTCCCCTGTTTAGAATGTGGTAAACCGACTGCTTCTGAGTATAGCTTATGTAATTTGCATGCAGATAAATGTCATGTTAAAGCCTAATATCACCGAAAAAAGCTGGAGAAGATGGCGCAAAATGGAGTTATAGAATATACATAGTGAAATTTGCTGTCACAAGTTGCCACAAGTTCGTCACAAGTAAAAAAATCAGTAGAAAGGTAGGTTCTTGAAAGTCTGAGATCTAAAAAAACTGTTCTGGATGACTGTCACAGATGTCACAAGTTTCTCGGGTTAATTTATTGCGTCCCACCTTTTTATTTTTTTTTTCTATATGTATACCATAACAACATACTGTACGTATATCGGGTATATATCAAAGGTATTCCATATGTAATATATCGACTATATATAAGTACCATGTGTAATAGTTTTTACTCTTAGAATTTTACTTTTTTACTTGAGTAACTTGTGACAGATATATAAAACTAATCAAGAAAGAAACGAAAAGGCTCAAAACTCCAAATAAGTGTCACAAGTTCTATCACGAGTACTATCAATCAACTAGTGACAACTTGTAACAAAAATTCCGGCATACTTCTATATAACATGTTATTAACGTGAGCGAAATCGGACATACTGGGAAATGGCTCCAGAAAGTCAAAAGCTGGCTTTAGTAGTGGTCCTAGTAAAATTTCAGCTGGGATCGAGCTAGGGTCAATCAAGGAAAAATATCGATATACTTTGTTATAACATATCTTCAAACATGATCAAAATCATTTTCCTGATAACATTTATGATGTATACAGTATATCGATAAATTTTGATATAGCATGCCCATGTAATATACCTGATAGCATACCCGATGACAGGAATATAGCATACTCGATAGCAATCACACAATGCATATTTGATAGTATATGTTTAACATACTTGGTAGTAATTACTCAACGCATATTTGATAACATATACCGATAGTGTTTTTTGATAGCATAATCTGATGGCGCAATATACTGTCGTGGGCTAACCCAGCAAGTCCGTTGCTAATCCGTAGCACCTCGCGTAACCCAGACAACTCACAAATACTCACAACTGACACAAAGAAGAGAATGCCTCCTATAAAGAATACTTAGGGAAGGCAGAGGCATGGTGATTGACTTGGTCAAAGGTAAGTGTCTCTTTATTCGCATTCTGTTTCTTTGGTATATCACTAATGCTTATCTCTATTTTCAATAAGGGTTATTTTCTAACACATTCAGCACTACCTTCTTGGGATACATTGGTAAGCTATTTATACTTTTCTAACTAACAATGAAATATCTACTTTATAATTAGATATGCTAACCTTAAACTTTGCTAAACTTTCCATATTTTATCAGATACATATAGTTCCTTTATCAGTATCTGATCCTATAGTTTCTTACCTTGTGACACTCAATCTTTCATGCCAGACTTTCATATTTTTGAATTCTAGACTATTACACATAAATTGCATCACACACATAACCCATGACAATACTTAGCATACATATTTAGTAGCATTAATTGATAGTATAACTTGATAATATATATAGTATATAGTATGTCCAAATATATCCTCAGATCTCTAATTAGTACACCGTAAATGTTATGGAATTTGAGTTTTTAAAGACAATAGAGAAGGATCACACTCAAGTAGTATACCCTAAATCAGGTATTTATTTTCACCAGAAATTGATCAAAAATGGTAAACCAATATATGAAAATTTATATATAAGTAATTAAAACATTGTTATCAAATTTGACTTTCTAAAGGATATATAACGTGACTTAAGTTTTGCAATCTACACATAATATCTAGGGATATATAGTATTATTGATCAAGTGACTTGAATTTTGCAACTTATCCATCACTCAAATAACTTGAGTTTTAGAATCAACCTATCATTTGTATGACTTGAGTTTTGCAATCCACACATTATACCTGAGTGATCATATTCTAAACTAAGTAGAAATAATATAATTATATTATTTTTACTTCTTTTAGCTAATCTTGTAAATTAAATATTTTAATAAGTATTTGATTGACTTTTTCTGTTATTTATATATAATACATTTTTTTACTTATATAAATTAGATTTTTTATAGTCAATTTACTTAATATTGATAATTTATTATTAATTAATTTAATAAGAAGATTTTTAAAGAATATATTTACTATATATTAATTTTTTTTTTATTTTAAACTACAACTGATATTAAATACATACTCTTTATTAGATAATTAAATCCTATAATATATTATCAATCATCTTATACAAATATATATTTTTATATATATTTAGATTAATAATAATCTATTATAGTTAATCTTAACTAAATCTACTACCACTTCTTGAATGAGTAAATCTGACTAAAGATTGAATGATTAATATATAATTATCAATGATATAGTTAGGTTAGTTGATATTGAGCTCACAAATTTTTATATTTCATTAAGTCAATCTTTTTTATATATATTCAATAAAATTAATTATATCTTCTCTATTTTCAAATATTATTTGTTTAAATCTTGAAAAAAGATATTTTGCCTTCTTGTATATCATCTATGACATTGAATCAATTTTTATTAACTAATTTTTATTTAAATAGAATATTAGATTGAAATATTCTAAGCTAGAAAAATAGTGATTATAGAGTCTATCAGAATAAGTAGGTTTTGGGACATTTATAGTAGACTAAATTAAAGCTTTTCTTCATATAATTTTTTTAGTAATATAACTATTCCGAATTGAAAAAATTCAGAAAATAAATTTTTATATAATCTAATTTAATTAAATCTTGTTTCAGATAATTGAACATAACTTTTACAAAATAACTAGTAAACTTGATCAAAAGATAATTTTGATTTTGATTTTTAAGTAATATTAAATTATAGATCTTGTGATTATAATCTAAAAGTACTATAATTGTATTATTAATTCACAGAGAGCAAAAAAATAAATAAATAAATAAATAATATATTGATTATTAATCAATTTATTAATAAATATTACATATCAAATATCCAATTGCAGTTTTAAAAAAAGATAATTTTTTATTTAATTCTTAATTATATAAAAATATTTTTATCAAAGAACTTAGCATAATTTTTCTTTAATATTATTTCTAATATTTATTTTCTTTTAGTTTTAAATTTAAATATGATCCACTTTATTTTTTTTATTTTTTTTTTATTTTTAAGTGCAACAGGCCTACTTTATTAATTTTAGTATAGTACATATTGTTTGAATTAATACTAGACTAACTGTTAACTCTTTTTCTTTATGTATTTTTCTACACTAACTTATTAAAAAGCTAATTGATTCTAATAATCCCTTATAGCTTGTTGCTTCCAGTTGAAAACTAACATACTGAGGCTCTGTTGGCACTAATTTGAAAAATGTCAAAAATGTATATATTCCTTTCAGGATATTATCTATTGTGTTCTGTGTGGAGGCTTGTTGTGGTCTGTTTGTTTTTATTCTTTCTTTTTTATATATTCTCTATTACATTTTTTTTCCTTTTCTTTTGATGGATATTTTGTTGATTTCCTGTTCCTTTTTTCATTGTAGCATTCTTCTACATCTATTGAGTCAAATGTTGAAAGTGAGGAATCTAGTATATTGCATGATATTTTTGAGAGCATCTGATAGCTTGTCATGTCCCTGTGATTTTTATTTACTTAGAAATAATGTTATATATATGATGATTTTATATATGATAAATGTATTATATACTATATATACTAACTAGCCTATTAAGGAAAACCATACGACGCTCTCTTAAATTTTCCAGACCACTTTTATAGAGTAATTTAATTATCAGACTGTTGTGTTTGCTTTAACCTATACCCAGATTTGGGACTTTAGCATGATCTGCAGATTCCTCTTCCTATCAAGATCTCCTGATGATAAGTCATAGCAACTGGCCATACTTTTTAAACATCCTACTGATACAATGTATACTCTCTTCAGAACTTCAACCTTTCTGACTTGCAGTAACTTCTTGCAGTCAGTAAGATCATCAAGATACCTGGTGTCAATCCAGTTTTCATTCTGGTTGATCACGAGATCAGCCTCATTTTCCTTCATCTTATCAGAGTACTGATAAGATATTGATCATCTTACAACACCTGTAGACTGGCCTGATCTGATAAAGATCAGCTATAAATGATAACGTGTGATAGTGAATTTTTTATTTTAGCTATTGGTAAGATAACCAGGTCTATGCCCAATGACATTTACTATTACCCAATGGAGTACTGAATTCATTGTGATGTGGTATTTTTATGTGACCCCTATGTGGTATTGAATTTTGAACCTTGTGATTGTGACCTGGGAGCACTATCACTATGCTATAGACTCACAGGTCTTGATCTATTTTATTATTTAAAAGAATAATATAAATAAAAATATAATTTTTATAAATATTTTTAATCACTTATTCTTAAAACTTGAAATAATTAGTACTTGAATTCTTTTAATTAATATATATTTTTTTTTAATATCCATGATCAGGTCAGTATTATATGTTTATTAATCATTAAGAAAACTGATTGAGATACATAGAGCAATTGCATCATGGCTAAACTAAAATCTTGTACTGATATACTCGTCAATGGCTTTCAATTTTTAAAAGAGATTCAGCCTCTAAGTGCAACCTTGGGAACAATATTTTGCTTCGAACTAAGTTTTGGGTGAAGACCCTTCTAACTTATCCATTATTGCCAGCAGGTTGACACTGCTTATTATCCTTCAAGGAACTGAATTCAAGAAACTACAAAAGGGGAAAGGAGAAATAAAAGAAAAGGGAAATATCTAAAAATATGTAAATGCACTTACATTAAAATGAAAAAAGAAAAAAAAATTTTAAAATTGCTCTATGTCCTCCAAAGGACCTTGACTAGAAACCTCTTTTCATTAGAAATCAACCTTTCTGGAATATCATTCTTCTTCCTGACCATCTAAGGAACTTATCCATCTGTGCTCTTGATTATTTT